GAAGTCTTCGCCTTTGCTCTTGTAACTTTCGTAATGGGTGTCGCTTGCTACCCGTTGTCATCCTTTTTAGGTAGTTTTTTCCTCTCACTTTTTATATATATATATATATATATATATATATATATATATATATATATATATATAGTGAGGGAGATCAGCCTTGAGCTAACATCCATGCCAATCCTCCTCTTTTTTGCTGAGGAAAACTGGCCCTGGGCTAACATCTGTGTCCATCTTCCTCCACTTTATATGGGACGCCACCACAGCATGGCCTGACAAGCGGTGCATCGGTGCGCGCCCAGGATCCGAACCCCGGGCCGCCAGCAGCAGAGCATGCGTACTTAACCGCTAAGCCACGGGTCCGGCCCCCCTCTCACTTTTATTATATCCTATTTTCACTAAAAAGAGAAAAAGAAATAAAAGAAATCATGACATCTGTATGATGTCATCTTTCTCAGGGAGTCCCTCAGAGGTGCAGTTCTTCTTTGAGGGGCTTGGGGGTGTGTTTTCTGAGTGCATCACCAGGGGTGGTTAATCTTTCTCCTCCTCAGAGGAGGGAGGGTCATTTAATGATGATCAAATATTTTAACTCTTCTCTGGACTTACTGTTGATTACTTTAAAAAAACAGCTCAGTGTAAGAATATTCTTCTAGACTTTTAATGGAGTATGGAGTACCTTTAAATTTAAATAGGGTTATTTATATATAACTCTCTACCCCATAATCTGAATGAAGGGGCCATATTGCTAGGTTTTCCATAATAATGAGGGAAAAATAATACTGATTGCTCTCCTAACTGGATGTTTTACTTTTTAGTAACTTGGCGAGATGTAAATCATTTCTGTGAACAATACTGAATAAATCCAAGAAAATGCATAGTCCTGATTCTTGTAGGACTCATGACCAACTTTTCCTCACCCCCTTGGGAGAATTGTCTCTTTTTTTTTTTTAATGCTCCAGAGTTCTGTTTAGTGGTTACATATTCAAATTAAATTGATTAGGTATTTGTTGAAATGAAATTCATAGTTGTTTGGTCATGGCATTTTTACTTCTTTTTTTTCAGCCTTATTGAAGTATAATTGACAAAATTGTACAACATGATAATTTGATATATGTATGCATTGTAAAAGGATTCCCACCATTGAGTTAATTAACACATCCATCACCTCACATATTTACCTTTTGTGCATATGTGTGTGAGAGAACACTGAAGTTCTCCTCTCTTGGTAAATTTCACTTATGCAATACAGTTTTATCAACCATAATCATCATGTTATATGTTAGGTCCTCAGACCTTATTCATGTTATAACTGAAAGTTTGTACCCTTTTTCCAGGCTCTCCCTATGTCTCACACCCCTCAGCCACTGGCAACCACCATTCTACTCTCTGTTTCTGAGTTCAAACTTCTTTTTTTTTAAAGATTCCACATGTAAGTGATACCACCCAGTATTTGTTTTTCTCTGTCTTATTTTACTTAGCGTAATGCCCTAAAGATTCATCCATGTTGTCAAAAATGGCAGGATTTCCTTCTTTTTTAAGGCAGACTAATATTCCTTTGTATATTTATACCACATTTTCTTGATCTGTCATCCATCAGTGGATACTTAGGTTGTTTCCATACCTTGGCTATTGTGAATAATGCTGCAATAAACATGAGAGTACAGATATCTCTTTGAGATAGTGATTTTGTTTCCTATGGATATATACTCAGAAGTGAAATAGCTGGATCATATGGTAGTTCCATTTTTAATAATCTTGAGGACCCCCCATACTGTTTTCCATAGTGGCTGTACCAATTTACGTTCCCACCAACAGTGTACAAGGGTTCTCTTTTCTCCACATCCTTGCCAGCATTTCTTATCTGTTATCTTTTTGATAATACACATCCTAACAGGTGTGAGGTGATAGCTCATTGTGCTTCCTGCGTAGCTGTACATTCAGGGCATCTGTGAGAGGAGGAAAGTTCAGGAGCCTCCTATGTCGCCATCTTGGTCCCTCCTCAGCATTTTTACGTTTTTATTTTTTCCAGAAGGAACTAGAGAAGCAGAAGAGAATTAAGAGGAACCAGCAGCTGGAAGCAATAGCCAAAGAACATTATGAAAGGATCTTGCTAAGAAAAAAAGGTCTGGAGCCTTGGAAGAGGTTGAGAATGCAAAGCAAGCAAAACATCCAGGTATAGTGTCACACTCTAATCCCCACAATTAGAGATGGACTTTTCAAATAGGGTAAACACCCAGTTGGGCTTTGGGGTTGTTTGGTGACTTAAAAGCCAGAAAGATAAATGAATTGAGTGTGTGCATTTATTTGTTTTGGATAAGAACTTAGATTTGGTCTTCCAAGGTAGAGAAAGACTTCTGTAATTGAATAGGTTGGAAAAAAACTAGAGTAAATTTTTGGTTAGAGACCTCCAAGGTAAGTTGAATAGAGGCCTCTCTCAATTTCAGCAGTGTTTAATAAAGAGAAAAATAATTACCATGAGTATATTAGTCAGGTTGCTCCTGCAATAAAGCTGCATAACAAACAGCCTCCAAACGTCAGGGGCTTACAACTGAGGCATTTGTTTCTCACTCTCGTGTCTGTGAGCCAGTTGTGGACTGGGTTCAGGTCCCTCCACAGCCTCTCTTTCTGACTCCAGCAGTTATCCAGGGCATACTTTTCACCTGGCAAATGTCTGAGGCACAAAGGCCAAACCCAATTACGTAAACCCATATGAAACCTGTGGTTGTGTCCTGTCCACTAACATTCCCTTGGCCAAAGCAAGTCATGGGGCCAAACTCAGGGCCATTGAGAGGAGAAAGAGCCCCACCTGGGAGGCACTATGAAATCACAAGGGTGTATAATCCTATTACAGGGGAGAGTAATCCACTCTACCACGTGGAGATATGTGAAATCAAATACCATGGAAATTCAGATTTATCCAGTGCACACAACAGGGCATTCAACTAAATGATCAAGAAGCTCAAAATAGATAAAATGTTATATTTAGAATTCTATTTAATAATTAGTTCAGTAATGTATACCAGTTATGACCACTGTTATTTACACATTTGGCCAGGTTAATACTGAAAAGTAAGACTAGCATTTTTGGTTATGAAAACCGAGATTAAAGATGAATAATAATGCTTCGTATCATAAGAGTCCCGCTAAATTGAGTAATGCTACAGGTTATTCCTCTGTGAATGTGACTTAGGCTGCTTTTGTCCTCCCTAGCCAGTCTGTTCGCCCTTCATTATCTTTGTTCTCTTCCTATTTTCACACTTTCTTTCCTTCTTTTCATCTTCCCTAAATGCCCTTCTCACTCTTTTTTCTCTGTCTCTGATTTTTTGTCCTTAGTCTCCTTACCAGTGGTTCTGGAACTATTGAGTATTCCAAACCAACTGAGGAAGTTGATTTGTGGTGGTCAGGCCTAAGGGCAACAGGATCCACCCTGTTTGGAGGCCTGGACCCATCCGTGCCCCAAGCCATTTGCTTTGGCTTTTTCCTAGTAATGAGATGGGAGGGCTGACTCCTTAGTCCCCTGAATAAATGAATCTGGAAATGAAATTTGAAATTTGCTTCTTACAATATACTACCACTAAGACTGGTCATATCAGATAGTTTGCTGTCCAGTTGAATGCTCCTAGTTTTATTTTGTTTTATCTGGCTTTTGTGTATATTTTTGTTTGTTTTTAATTATTAATACGCAAAGGAAGAGCAGACAGGCATTGGAAAGACACTATATTCTTATCACCTCCTCTTTTTTGGTCCTTGTTTTTGACTGAGTAAAATCAAGAAAGGTATAAAATTTAGAAACAAAATAGAATCTATGGGTAAATAACCAAATTAAATTTTTAAAAATGTATTCATAAGAATGTAAAAGTAGAAATAAGAATTTGGGCTCAAAATGATAATTATAGGCTTTAGATATAGAAAAACCCAATTAAAATAAAAACAGGAAGACACAGATCTGAAACCAGCATTTTCAAACTTTCCTATTCATAAAACCATCTGGAGCACTTATAAAAATGCGCATTCCTGGTCCCACCTCCAGGTATTCTCAGTAGGTCTGAGTTGTTGAGTGGGGGATGGGGGTGGGGTTGGGGGGTTGTCAGGGAATCTGCATTTTTTAAAAGTAGCCCAGGGGATTCTGACACAAGTGGTCTGAGCACCACATTTTGAAAATCATCTCTCTAGTTTATAACAAGTGTATTAGTTTCCTATTGCTGTTATAATAACGAATTACTACAAACTTAGTGGCTTAAAACAACACAAATTTATTATCTTAAAATTCTGGGGGTCAGAAGTCCAAAACCAGACTTGTTGGGCTAAGGTCAGAGTGTCAGCAAGGCAAGCTCCTTCTGGTGGTTCCGAGGGGAGAATCTGTTTCCTTGTCCTTTTCAGCCTCTAGTGGCTGCCTGCATTCTATTGCTCACCGCCCCTTCCTCGAACCACTCTCACCTCGTGCTTTCACCCTCACATATCATACTGATATCAGCTGATCCTCCTGCCTCCCTCTGATAGGGACCCTCGTGACTACATTTAAAGCTCTCTCATATAATCCAAGATAATCTCCCTATTTTAAGATCCTTCACTTAATCACATTTACAGAATCCCTTTTACCATGTAAAGTAACATTTACAGGTTCCAGGGATGAAGACATGGCCATCCCTGAGGGGCCACTATTCAGCCAGCAAAACAGGGTAATAGAATTTTAGAACATTAGCACTCCTCTCCATCTCTTTCAATTTGTTGATAAGGGAACTGAGCCCTAGAGAGAACTGACTGGCTTAAGGTCACACAGCGCATTGGTTACAAAGCTAGAATGGAGCTCAGCACCCCCTCCTCCCAGAATCCTGGGGTTCTGGCATGCCTTTGAGCTGTGTAGGAAACAGAGGTGTGTGTAGATGCCAACCACCAGTTGAAAGTAAAAAAATAAAAAGAAGTAAAAGAAAGAGTTCTGGGGACAGTAAGAGGAAGAGGTAGCTTCTTCACCCATCAGAGTTGGCTTCCAGGAAGGGGTAGAAAAAATTAAGAAAGAAGAAGCGTCCAGTTAAACAGTTCCTGGCTTGTTTATAACATTTTTTCAGAAGAGTTATTTAGCATTTTCCCTTAAATTCATTCTCTTAAACTCACATGTGCTATATGCCATTTATTCCAGCAACCATTGTCAGAACTTCTTAGGGACCTTGTGATAATCTCTCTTTTACTTCCTGGTTCTCTCCCTTTTCTCAGAGGACAGAGAGCAGGGAGGGCAGGAGGCCGTGTGCTTCCCTCTCCTCTCGCCTTTTGGCTCCCAGGCTGGGATTGAGTCAGGACAGGCAGCGGTCTCAGTGCCACAGAGACCTCCTGTGATGGTCATTGTGGCCAGTAAGTGTGACTGCCAAGAGATTCGCTTGGGTCAATCAATTCACAGTGTTGGGTAGCTAGACAGGTCTTAGAAAAATGTGTAGTTGTCTGGAGAGGACTGAGAGAGAACGGTTCCTCCCTCCTACCTCTTGAAAGAATTTAACAGTTACTTTTTTAAATCTAGGAACCCTGAGTTCTATGTTTATTTTGATAGAATGATGCTCTGAGCCTTTTAAGTTGGTAAGACATTAAATTATTCATCGTGTTATTTTTCTATCAAATGGTTTTACAGTTTATTGATAATGTCTAAATTTCAATGCTGGTGACAGCTCATTCTACAAAACTAATTGAAAGGATTGGCATTTCCTCAATTAGAAAGTGGTTAAGTACATAATAAAGAGGAGTTTGTGATGGAGTTGCTGTCCAAGCTGCAGGAGAACAAACTGAGAATGTTGCCAGCCACCCACTTCAAAACATGGTGCAAGTGAACTCATGGCTGTGGAGGTGGTTTATTCCATTTCCCTAATAACCAGCCAGTCACTGTGGTCTTCAGGGAGTCAGCACTGAAAGGCTGTGCATGATGTGAAGCTAAAAGCCCCATATAAGAGGGTGAGTAGTCAAAGCTTTTAGGATGGAGGCTGAACGTCCTTAAGATTGTCCTTTCTAGTAACTGCCTACATGTCGTTTACAGCATCGTTTGCCAAAGTGATGTGTGTTTCCTTAAATGGTTTAAGATATAAGGAATAACTTCCTTTTCTCATTTGAAAAACTGTCCAGGTGGCCGAAGAACATCACTCTTTGGCCCTACAGAGGAAATGCCTGCTGACCTGGTTCCGGTTTAGTCAGGAAAGCCTGGCTAGGAAGACGGCCCAGGCTGATCAACTTTATTCCCAAATGTTGCTTAGGAGAGTCATCCGGAGCTGGGTGCAGGTGAGGCCACAGGGAAGGGAGCTGTAAATACATTCTCTGCTCAACCCCACATAAGGAAATTAGACGCACTCCAGAATGTCCATAGTCAGTATGTTTTTTCAGGAACAATATAGAATAGTCAATCCAATTCATTGCTTCAAAATGAATATGAAAATGTCAAATCAACTTTTTTTTACTTTTTTTATTGTCAAATTTTTGTTGTACATTATGGTTTGTCAGTCACCATATAAATGCATCCCTCCACCCCTTGTGCCCACCCCTCACCCCCCTTGCCCCTGGTAACCACCAAACAGTTCTATCTGTCCATTTGTTGGTTTATCTTCCACATATGAGTGAAATCATGAGGTGTTTGTCTTGCTCTTTCTGGCTTATGTTTTGCGTAACATAATACCCTCCAGGTTCATCCATGTTGTTGCAAATGGGACGATTTTGTCTTTTTTATGGCTGAGTGGTATTCCATGGTATATATATCACATCTTCTTTATCCAATCATCAGTCAAGGGACACTTGGGTTGCTTCCATGTCTTGGCTATAGTGAGTATTGCTGCGCGAATCAATTTTTTGTTAGTATAAAATCTTAAGCTTGTTTCTTTTCACACAGAAAGTGTTCATCTCTATAAACTGTAATGTATCATTGCATCAGCTTTTGTTTTTATACTCACTTCTTGTTTCTTGTCCCACAATTGCTCAAGTGATTTTACTAGAAACCTACCCCCACAGTCTATAACTGTTTCTACTCCCTCGGTTCCATTATTTTATTTTACTACATTACAGAGGATATTATCTTAATGGCCACATTACCTTTTTCTCTTTATGCCTCCAGGGTCCTTGGTTCCTCTCTTTTGTGTTTGTGTCGATTCTCTCTCTTTTGTACAGTTTATTTGCTCTAAGTCTTTGTCTGTGATATTATTTGTCTCACTTCTTTTCCTGTCCTCACCCCCAGTACCTGACCGATCTGGCGGAAGAAGTACAAAAACTATGGGTACATTTTCTTCAGAAGAAGATTTTCAGGGCCTGGTTTAACCTGGTCAAGGAGGCCAAGATGGATGCTCAGAGCAAGCACGAGACTGCAGTGGAGCACAGTGACAGGTGAGGTTTCCATCTCTATGGAAATGCACTCACTGACTTTACAATTGCTCTGCAATGTATTCTGTGCCTAGAATCTGTCTGAAAAGACGTGATGGAGGCTAGGAGAGCCGGCACTGGGAGATCCCAGGCAGGGGTGGGAGTCCCGGCTTACCTACTGACCACGGGGGTGAAGGCAAGCTGGTGATCCCCTGGAACTCCAGGGTCACCATCTGTCAAATGTGCCAGAGGAGGAGGCTGCCCTCTCTACCTCATAGGGACTGGCAAGGGAATAAAATGATGTGAAATACATGGCACACACCTGAGCCAATGTACTGTATTCTTTATTAGTCTATAGGTTTATCTTTTAAGTTCAATTTTTTTAACATTCATTGTGAAATATAACACAAATATAGGCAAGTGCTTAAATCATACAAATACAGCTTAATGAATTACTCTACAGTAGACACCCATGTCACCACCACCAAGGTCAAGAAGTGGGACATTACTGGCCCCTAGAAGTCCGTACAGGCTCCTTCCCATTCACAAGTCCTGCCCTTCCCCACAAAGGTAAACTGCTCTCCTGTCTTCTGTGATGAACATTCATTACATTGCTTCTTGCTTTTACCTCCTAAGTATGCAGCCTTCAAGGCTATGGTTTAGTTTTGCCTGGACTGGAACTTTATATAAGCAAATCATACTGTATGCCATATTAATATTTACAATATAGTGATGTCTTATTTAATCTAGCATCCTTGGGGAATAAGGTATTCCATATAAGTAAGTTTTTTCTTTGTTTTCTAATTTTAAGCATTTTGAATAGAAACGTTCTAAATTTCGTTATGCACTTCCCTTTGAGAGTAAACAAATGATCTGTCCTTTTTTGGTGATTGGGTGTCTTCCTTATGAGCAGAATGTGGTGAGCATATGCCTCCAGGTTCTGAAGTGTGAAGACTGTTGTGTAGGTGTAGAAGTGTCCCTTTTCTCACTACACGCAGATTCATTTGTGGTTGCTTTTTCATTTGTGTGTATGTGCGTGTGTGTGTGTGTGTCTGTTTTTTATAAAAGCGTTCCATTCTTGTTGCCAGTAGGGTGCCCACCTCCAGCAAAACCTGCTCATCCTGGTTTAATTCACAGGTACTCAAATCTGTGGGCTGGGAAAACATAAACAAGTGAATTCTAATTTTGTCTAAAATAAAATAAATAGGCAATGAGTGAGGGTCTTCAGAGGACTTGCCTTTGAATAAATGCTTGCGCTTTCAAGTTTGAAGTTTAGGACTCAGTATCTGTGTGACCCTGGACACAGAACTTAACCTTTCGAAGCCTCCCCGTCCCTCTTTTGTAGAATGAGGATAACACAGAACCTGTCATATGGGCTTGTCGGGAAGACTAAACAAGGTAACAGTACCTCACTTAATGCAGTGCTTGGCCCAAAACAATAGCTATTTTTTGTTTACTAAATGTATTATTATTAAACATCCTTTCTGTCTGCCTCGGTTTTCTTTCTGTTTCTCAGCTGCCATATACAGACTGAGAGATTGATTGGGGCAGCTGCCTGATGTGGCAGAGGACAGTTAGAGAGGGCTTTCATACCACCGTCTCATCTGAGCGCAGTGTAAGCCAGAGGGGAGGGAGCACAGGTTAGGATTTCCCTTTTCAGGCAAGGAGACTGAAGCTACAAGCAGGTGCGTGAGTTGCTCAAGGTATACAAATGTTTGGTGGAGTCTAGACTCTGAATCAGATTTTCTGACTCCAAACCATTCTCTTCTTGCTTTATCAGCCTTCTCCATTATTCTAATTCAATCTCATTTGTAAACTATAAAATACACTGCAGTCATGTGCCACGTAATAACATTTCAGTCAACGACAGACCATATATATGACAGTGGTCCCATAAGATTAGCACCATATAGCCTGGGTGTGAGTATGTTATACCATCTGGCTTTGTGTAAGTACACGTTATGATGTTCGCACAACGACGAAATTGCCTAACAACACATTTCTTTGCCTTGAGGGCTTTGCTGCTGGAGCCCTGGCTCCCTCGGTCCTGTGCTGGGCACAGGCACAGGCTGCGATCAGATCACCTGAGGAGTCTGTCTGGTGGCCTGCTTCTCAGAGGCCACTGGGTGCTGCTCAGATGTCCCCTCCTCACAGAGGGTTTCCCTGACGCCCTGAGGGAAAACAGAAATAGCCTACTAGTCACTCCCGTCCTCTTCTGTTGCTTTATTTTCTTCACAGCATTTCTCACCGTCTGAATCCCAATTGTGATTTCCATACTATAACGTTTTATTCACGTAAGGATTATTCTTATGAAGTTTTTAATGTACTTCAGATGGAAAGTCAACTTTTCCTTAGTATTTCACTTTTTTCCTCTTTATTAATAAAGGAGGATTCTCCGGATCACATTTCAGACATGGAAGAAGTTTGTAAAATTTATGAAAGAGGAAAGAGTCAAAGAAGAAAGGCGAGAGCAACTCCGGAGGAAGGTAGCTGAAATTCTTCCAGACTTCCAGCTGCTCGCCCCACCGTGACTCAGTCGTACCAGCAGTCATATACTCGGCCCTTGTGTAAGAGGAGTCCTGGGTGTGCAGTGAGCACAGACCAGTGCAGTGTGTATGATGGGACTCTCGATTGGTCCATAATATGTGTGTTATCTCCACCCACCTAGACGTGCATATCCCTGGTTTATGTTCTGTCGTATACTTCTTGGATCAAAGGAATTATTTGGAGAATTTGTACTTCCTTTTTTGATTTCTCTTGGATTGCTGCTCAGTTCACTAGAGCATTTATCACAGCGGGATCATCCAAAGGAACAGTCTAGAGCTCTACTGTTCCAGTGTATCCTATGTATTTTTAGCCTCGTAAACTTTAAAAAGGACAAGTGTTTGCTTGCCTGAGGCTGTGAAGGAAAATATGTGTCCTCAGAGCTCAATGTGCATTGCTGACAAATGTAACTTTAATCAAATAGAAATGAAAAGTAGTGAGTACTTACAAAAGGAGTCCTAAGTGGTCAGTCTTCTAGTCCCTCAGCCTCTGCCAGACCCCAACCTTGGTGTCCACTGCTGATGGAAAACCACGGATCAAAAGGTACAGTGCACAGCTGCTGAAAGGGCAGCAGCACGGCCTGGTCTCAGAGAAACTGCGGCACCAAAGACCCTCCTCCTCAGTGCACCTGACAAGCAGGAAGGGGTCCCAAAAACTAATGACTGTCCAAGGCAGTCCAGCAATTCGCTAAAATGTCAGCCCATGCTCCCAGTCGCAGCTTCTAAACAATACACTCCGTCTGTCTGTCTTCATGTGCTCAGGTCAGTGTGATCTACATATTGAGGTACTTATCTTGAATTCAAAGAATGTTTCAATCTTTAAGGTGTTAAAGACTGACAGACAAAATGCTCCCTTCTGTGAATTGTCTCAGAGAATTAGCTGCTAGAAAAAAAAATTTTCATTACAAAATACATGTTTATTACAACAAATTCAAGTAGCCGACGAGTGCACCCTGCAAAATGAGAAAGTCCCTTGCAGCCCTGAGGTAACTACTATTATTTGGGAAGTTGAAAATTTGAGTTGGTAAAATAAAATTCTGTGTGTTGTTGTTCAGTAAATTCTGTTATTGTCTCTTACTTCCCAGAAGGGCTATCCAGCTACACCACCTGCAAAATGACTTACATCCTTCTTCTGTGGAAGATGTGTGATGATTTATTCAGATATGACAAAACAAACACCCTAATGGAACTTCATTCCTCTACAGTGTTCCTGTCCCCACACGTTTTTCCTCTAATATAATTATACAGTTGTCACCTAAAAACTCTTTTTAAGGGCCGGCCCCGTGGCTTAGTGGTTAAGTGCGTGCGCTCTGCTGCTGGCGGCCTGGGTTCGGATCCCGGGCGCGCACTGACACACCGCTTCTCCGGGCATGCTGAGGCCGCGTCCCACATACAGCAACTAGAAGGATGTGCAGCTATGACATACAACTATCTACTGGGGCTTTGGGGGAGAAATAAATAAATAAATAAAGTTTAAAAAAAAAACTCTTTTTAAGACTAATAGCCACTAAAGAAAATGGGACTAAAAATAATTCATATTTAATCTTCTTCCATCTAAATCACTATTTATACTTAACTGTAATACAGTTACAGAATATTTGCTGATATTAGCACCCAGAAATCAAATACCAATTTTATTTCAATGCCAAGCCTGTATAAGGAAGGGTAAATCGCTTAAGTGAACAGGCCAAGGGCCTAAATAAAGCCCATAAAGTTTAAGTTTTCTCTCTTAAGCTTCCTTTTATTTTTATTTCACCTCCAGCATCAATTAGAAACTGAGTCTTTAGCAGTCCATGTTCTGATTGGGCCAGCAAGAACGTTTTATCTACTGACAGAACCTTCTAAAGAGACAGACATAGGAGAATAAGTTAGTAAATGACCTATGTTTATTGCTTGACCATCTTAAAGGCATGATTTGAAACGTTACTGCTAACAGAATGCCCAAATAAGCAGCATCCTTGGCCTACAAAACTGGAAAAGTAACCACCGGGAAAAGGGCGGTTTCAGGCCAGGGACAGCATAGGTCATGGGGCGGGGGGGACATCTAGGTGGCAGAAGGGGCAGCCCAGCTAAATGCAGGATTTCCTTAAAGCAAAAGAGTTCAGGAAACACACCAAGAAACACCAACTATTTTCCTTCAAGAAAGCACTTTATTTTCCATTTAAACAACTTGGTCACAGTACATTATTTTACATAAGTGGCAGTAATTTTTTAAACCCTCCATTTAAAAGGCCCGTGTCTGAGTCTGAGGTGATAAGAGGATATGAATACAAGTCTGAGGTGATAAGAGGATATGAATACAAGTATAAAAAGAGTGCAAAATGTTTAGCCCACAGCCTCCAGAGTTGGCTTCAGAAATCCCCTTTCACGTTGCTGGGCCTGTTCCATTAAATTTAGTCTTAAATAACTATTCCTGGGTTTCCGTTAGTCTAACACCAGACCCAGAAATGTAATCAAATGAAAAGGCTCAAAAGCCCTAACACTCACACCATCAGATCACCCAGACCACAGGGTCACGAGCTGAGCAAGTTCTAACGTGGCATCTTCTCAGTGGCTCCATCTGAAGACAGAGAATTTTAGCTGCATCAATAACTAGAACAGACTAGCTCTGGTTTTAAAGCATTGCCTTTAAAGTAGGAATTTTCTAGAAGTGAGAGGCGCAATCAGGAAGGCTAGACCAGTAACAAGTCACAAGCCCAACTCGGAAACAGCCATAACCCCCGACAAATCTGTCTCCGTTAACTGTTCAGTCTTGGGCCTGCTGCCGACGCTCCGGTGCAACACTTAGCGCCAGCTGAAGTGGGGATCATTGTCCACCAGCCACAGGATTCAGTTGAGCTGATTTTGCAAAAGGTCTGTATCCATCACAGCAAACATCCACAAGAACACACTGGATTGTGTTCAGCATTCAGTTAAGCAGAGCTCTCCTTCGCCCCCTGCATCACCTTTGCCATGTTGAATATAAAATGGCACATCTGTCAAGCTGCTGAGGGGAAAACCGCATTCCAAACAAGTGCCTCAAGCAAAGCTCTCTCACCCACTGCTTGTTTGAGGAAATTCTCCTTGTTAACATGCAGGGTACCAAAATATGGCTAAAATGAAGGCAAGTCATATAAACCTACTTACCTAAAGAGACCCTTACCCTCACAAAATATCAATTTTTAAACATCCTGGTTAAAACTGTGCTTCCAGATGTCACATTTTGGCTTATATTAGTTGAGGTTTATAATAAAAAGCTAATGTCCTACCCAAAGGAAATATAGTCTATTAAGCAGATGGTCAGTATCATGAAGAACCTTACTGGCATTGTGTTTTCTGGCAGTGGAAGATTCTAGTATAGAAAATTTTCTCTTGCTAAAAATATTAGAAGTACCAAGGACTATTGCATAAGAGAAAGTTTGTAGCAGTGTTTCTGCGAGGCAGATGGTACAGTGGAAGACAACAATTACTTCATTCACCAAAGGAAAACACTACCTGGAGAGCCAAGATTGACAGTATCCTAAACAGACACACAGGCGGCCGAGGTGAGAGAGGAGCAGTGTCCCTAAAGCACATTTAAGGCTTGACGCCAGCAGCATCAGGGAAACCTCCCAAAGAGGCGCTTTAATAGTCAGTTCGTTTCGGGTGGACCCAGCTATAACCACAAAGGCCTCTTGGGGTATCATAAGAAACATTTTAAATATTGAAGGGTTTTTCTCTTTTCATGAAATCCTGATCCTTAACTATTTCTCCCTTGAATCTGTCAAATGGAGCATTTCTCTTCCCCAGGAATAGTACACACTGGCATGACAGTAATGTCAGTGGTCAGAATATAGTAGGTCATTTACTAAGTTCCACATCCAGTATGTTTCTTAACAGAGGCTGAAGATGCTGGAGAGAGAAAGCGACCCACTTGTCTAGAACAGTGTTGGGGGGGCGGGGGAGGGGTTGCTCCTATGACCAAGAGACTGCCAGTTTATAGGTTTGCAGGGCAGTTCCCCATGGCTGCCACCACCAAATGTTTCTCTGGGACTCATTTGTTCACAGATGCCTTGGCTTTTAAAAGGACAAAATCCTTCAAACAGCTACAGATCATAAAAAGGCTTAAGAGTCTAGGAGTCTAGGCCAAGGACGTCCCGGAGCCTATGGACACACCGCTCACAGAGAGCCCCTTGTCTGCTGCTCCTTTTGGTGCAAATACGTCAGTAGGCATTTACCCCCACGAAACCCCTGAGCTTTTCAAAGGTTTGAGCTTTCTTCTGTAAACTGCCAATCATGAAGTTCTCAAGGAACTTAAAACAAGCCCCTCAATTCCAGTAAGCCGGAATAATATATCAAGAGTCCTTATCCAAGTGAGGGAAACGGAGTTGCCACATCGAGGTAAGCCTATTAGGGGTGTGTTGTTATAAAGATGGTGATCATTCCTAATGCTCCCAGATGACTCTGGTCTTCTGGGTACCATTCATCTTCATCACATCACATTTTGATTGTAAAGATTTGGCAAGAGGCTAAAATTACTGACTGTACTAATGTTTCTATGAATTTTATTATCAATTGCTAGAAAGAGTTGGCTGTACATCCGACATTCAAGAGACTACAGCTAGGGATTTCTGGCTACATGTGCTGTCCCTGGCATTATTACTCTCTCTCTTATCTCAAACCTATACAGAAAGGAGTTAGTTATATCAGATCCAATGTTAATTCCAAATGACTGCTCGACTCTGGGCTAGGGCAAGGGCTTCCCTGTAGAAACCACAGCCTCTGCTCACATCCCCACACTGGCTCTTTGGCTCAGCCCAGTGGAAGAGCCTATCGCTCATTCAACAATCCATCTCTGGGGAGACCAACGACAAGCCTGTATAAAAAGGTGGTGCCCGTCTCAAGGATAGCCTCGATTAATAGCAGGACTAGGGACGGTGCCAGCTGCAGAGGGTAGAGTTGCAGGAAGTAGCAATATTTCCTCTCAACATTCTTGCTACAGCAGCATGCAGAGAAAGTCCCAAAAAGCTGGCAATATTTTCCCTATATTAAGCTATAAGCCAAGGCAAATTTAAGGACTCGTGAATTATCTTTGGGATTGCAAAAAAAAAGTACATGTACAAAACCAAATATTTCAAGAGGGTATTTTCCCCATCTGAAATTGCCTCATCTTAATTCTATGGCAGAATAGACCCTTCTATATAAATATTTAATCCTTTATACATTTTCAGTTTTGAGATATGATTAAAGAAACCATTTGATATTTTAGGAAGAGCTAGGGAAGAACAGTAATCCATTAATGAGTGGAAACCTCAGTACCCTGCTTTTTCTCTCCTAGGGAGATACTTTTATCCAGGGGAAGGTGAATGGAAGTAATGTGCAAGGTAAGTGGGAAGATGTCAATCATCTCCTCAAAGAGTTCATGCCAGAATAACGTGAATGCCAGAAGACTGGTATTTGCAACTTAGTACCCTGACAGCATTTGAATTACTTACACAAACAAAAAAATCAAGCCCTTGATATTTAGCAGCCACCCTACCCAGGAAAGAGAGTCAAACTCCACAGAGGAGTGTCTCTTCTCCTCTTCCAGCCAGTTACCAGTGTGCTAGCACCTTACCACGTGAGTCATAGGAAGAGGGGAAACATTAATGCCTACTAGAGTTTACAGAAATCCAAACAGAATAAATATGTAAGAAGTAAGTTAAAGAACTCATCACCTAAACTCATGACCACTGTATATTATACTAGCAATAATTATCTTTAAATTGTCATCAACTGTCCTTTCAAGGTTAGATGATAGCGGAAATCCATCTGGTCATCTTCTACCCTGTTTGAGTAGTTAATGTCTAATACTTCAGAGAGTGAAATTCCCCTAACTGTACAACACGTTATTTGGGGATCTGTTTTTCACTCTGAAATGCTGAGAACGGATTACTCTAATATTGGCTTCGATGTTCTGACTCACAAACATTTTTCTCAGTCTTAGGATTTTCCTAATAATACTTCATACCTCTCAGGTGCTTTAGTTGTTCGTCAGTGCTTTCCATATCCCTCATCCCTCACGTGATCCTCACAGCCGCTCTGTGAGGCAGCCAGGGCAGGCATCAGTACCCCACTTTCCAGGTGAACCTGAGACTCGGGGAAGTGACATGACTAAGGGTCACATGGCTATCAGGAATTCAAAGACAGACTAGAACCCATCCTAATCCAAAGCCTTCCTCCCATACTAAGGGACAGAGCTGCTTCTATCAATGTGTGCATTAGCAATCCACATCCTTTCCAGCTTCAGGTGACTGAGTTAACAAGGTGACTGGAAAAGAATGGCTCTCCTTGTACTGCTTCGATATAAAAATCTCTTAAGTTGTGAAATCAGAAATATTAACTTCTCCCCAGTCCAGTCTCCAACCCTGAGCATGGCCCTATAATGCCTTTAAGAAACGGGATACAAACGACATCCTGCGTGGACACTGAAGTGTACAGCGGGAGGGAGCAGAGGGAGGGCTACCCCTCAGGGCCGCGCAGAAGGCACTTCAGACAATGTCCTCAGCAGGGTGATGGAACGGGTGAGTGCCCAGGGTGGAGAACTGGAGCCAGTTCCGCAGAAAGCCCCTATTGTACTGGCCTGTGTCCACGATGAGCCCACAGAGGAGCCGGCGCCCCGTCTTCTGTCGAAGGGCCTGCTGGACTTCCCTCTCGGTCACATTGTAACTGATGTTTATCAGCTGGATCAGGAAGATGTAGGCCATGCCCGCAGTGATGATCACAGAGTACCACACGCAGGTGAAGGACAGAGCCGAACTGGGAGGGGAGAAACGGCCGGTCAGGGCTGCTGATTTTTTCACATTCAGAAGGCTGTCACCATTCTACATTTTACGCATGTGGTACTTATTACTAAGGACTTTGGCACCTTCCCCATCCCAACTGGGAGATACTTTTCTATCCTTGGAATGCCAATAACCTGCTTAACTTCTGACTCTTAATATGTTCTGTTTCATTTTATAATTATCGGTACCTCTTTTTCTAGTATGTTATACTAGGACAGCAGTGACTGTTTTTGGCATTTTGCATCCCCCACAGAACCAACAGAGTACCTGACACAATAGCATTCAAAATCTGTTTGTTGAATGAATGAATAATTCCTAAACCGTTCTTCATAGGAGAAATGCAGGTGCCATGAGATTTCTATAAATGTCTTCAAGGCAGCTGTGGGTGGGAACCCAGGAACCGCGCTACAATTATTCATCTCCGTTCTCTTCAGTCCAGTGCCGATGAACACAAGACAACCCCCAATACTGGAAGCCCTTTACATATAAGATATGTAGGAGCACCATCACATTTCAAATTCAGCTTCCTAAAGCCAAACAGAATCACACAGAACAACAAAGCTTTCAGCTTATTAATAAGACTGTGAGGAGAGGCTGTGATTAATGTCTGCCAATTGGTTATTTTCATTCAAACATTTGCAAATGAGTTAGCTGGAAATAAATTCATTCAGAATCTTCATTTGTTAAGTTGAAAGGGACCTCAGAGATGATTAAGTCACCATAAAGATGAGGAAAGTCAAGGCCCAGCGAGGAGGCGTGAATTGCCTGTACTGGGCAGCGCGGTGAGAAGCAACGGCAGGACTGTGTTCCTCATGTCGTTTATGAGGCCCACAGAAAGTTCACAACACTCCTGCTTAGTCACGTACAGACATGCTCTAAGACATTTATCACCCACGGTGTTACTGAAGAATCTCACAACTACTAAGACTCTCAATACAGAGAGAAAATGAATTTATCCCAAGGAGGAGGACCAATCTATTCTCATAATGCCTATCAGTGTCTAGATCTATAATGGCAGTGGGGAGAACCGCCCACAGACTCACAGATCACCTGCACAGGGTACTATGTAGATAAAGCAGGGATTGCTCTGAAAACGAAGAGTGAGAAGAAAAGGATCACAGGGGCAGAGCTGCCCCAGCTCAGACTGGGGACCACAGAGCACCCACATCACAGGAAAACCATAGAGGAGAAGGATCAAGGAACAGGCAGGGGCGCCCGTGGCATTCGGGGGGCAGGGGTGGTGGCCGGGGCCAAAGCTGGAAAATCCCAGCTTCTGCCAAAACCTGGAGAGCTTCACGATATAGATGTGCCCCAACCTAACGAGGCTGAAGGAAATTCTGACCCAGATACCATAGTAATCACGAGTCGTGATTAAAAAGAAGTAGAACAGGAAAAATCCATGGAGGTTGAAAAGAAAAGAGAGGTTATAGAGATTGTGAGCACTTCACAACAGTCAGAAACAGTCAATTAAGATTGGGCTAAAAAGCACCAGAAAGCAGCTATAAAGTGAGGAGTTCCACCACATCCACACCCAGGGACGGCTAGTTGACTGTTTTAGTTTCACTGTTGCTACCTAGGGCATGGGACAGTCATCTGACCTTGGAAGTCCCTCACTAAGCCTGGTCCTACTTGTAGAGTACTAGTTCTTCACTTTTTAAGGGTCAACGATCCTTTGGACATCACCCTAGAAAAGTACACCTATCCACCGCACAATTTTTGTTGGCAGCCCCATAGCCTGTCCCGTGTTTTGGTTGAGAACTCCTACCCTAGCAGCAAATCATAGCCCCTTACATTAACGGCAACATCCATTCCCTCTTCTGCGGGCCCCGGCGCTGTGGTACCCACATCTCACCTGTGATTTGCATAAACTCCAGGACAATAGAAGAGAGCTGTGAAGACACTTCTGTCTCTACAAATGGTGTCCAGTGTCAGCGTTATCCCGTACACCGAGGTGAGCAAGAAGACCAAAAGAGCAAGTATAAATGCTTGATGATTTGATTCGCCGACACAGCTATTTATCCTCAAAACAGCACGGGGGGAAGAAAAAAGCAAACACGTTTTAAAAAGGTCTCTCTGTAACTCACATAATACAGAAAGCTTTTAAAACAGGGAGTGTGAATTTCACTTATTACAAAGTTCTCTTATTTTTCAATTTTAGGGAATTAAAAACTTGTCCGCTGGGAGATATAGTCTTGTATTCTCTGCTCTTTCCAAAGTGAAATCAGATCATTAGTTTAAGGACTAGATTAAGTAAAAAGCAGAACCTGGCTAAGAAATCTTTCTAAATAGAGGTAAGTGAAGTCTATTACCCAACTATGAAGAGCATTAACACTGTAATCACCACAATAAGGAAAGAGTGATGTCAGAGTTATGAAAACTTAAAAACGATGTGGAAGATAAACACATAGATAAGGAGAACAGATTAGTGGTTATCAGAGGAGAAGGGGATCGGGGGAGGGCGAAAGGGATAAAGGGGCACATATGTATGGTGACGGATAAAAACTAGACTATTGGTGGTGAGCACAGTGCAGTCTACACAGAAACTGAAATATAACAATGTACACCTGAAATTTACACATGTGATAAGCCAGTATGACCTTAATTAAAAAAAGCTAAATCAGAAGTATTTCAGTATGGGAAAATCTATGTTAAATATATGTATTAATAAAAAGACCCAAAGAGATTAGAAACACGGTGTGTATGTGGAACCCGATAATATGCTGACTACCTATCAGGTAAAAAGAGGTCTGTGTCACGGCCATTTGTAGGGCAGGATGTACAGGTGGCCCTTCTGCCCACTGCACACAGGGAGGCCCCAGCGGGCAGCGATCTTTTAGACGGGGCTGTCAGGGCCTCTGCAAACCCGCACTTGTAAATGGGCCACCACACGTGCACGCGCACCCACACACGCTCGCACGCGTGAATAAATGACGAAGACACAGAAGTGGGAAATCTAAAAAGGAAAATACCTGTTTACCCCAGGAAAAAGCTGTCCCTATACTTGAGCCCTGCACTTGAGGCCCACTCCGATGCCCTCCTGGCCTTTCTGCACCCTCACCCTCTCCCACGTCCCCTTCTGAGGAGAGGGTACGCTCCAGGACCAGAATCCTCGCCATAAAAAGCATAATTCATTGACCCGACTGCCTTCAGAGCAATACAGTTGCAAACATACGACTTACAGCATTCATATCCAAATTAACTACACCTCCCTTAGTTTATAGATTTACTCAGTAAATTAGCAACATTATTTTTAAAAGTTGCACTTCATATCTCATGGGCCTTACGTGTCCTCATTTGTCACTGGCCAGCTGGGGGCTACCAAAAAAGCCCATCTCTCTGCAAATAACCAAATAGGGAGTTATCTGGCAGGCCCTTAATTCAGTAATGTAGACTAGAAACCACTGGTAGCATCAAAATGATCAAGGACATATGGTGAGAGGACAAAAGAGTCACCTAAAAATACAGGGACACTTTCTTGAGCTCTGTGTTCAAAAGGAACAGCACAGGGAAATACGCCTATACTGATTCTGATCAATTAAAAATAAAAATCATTCAACTGTAGATACTTTTCTTTTAGAAAGGAGAAGATAAATGAGGAGCAGCTCAAAAGAGAAAAGCAAAACAGCCAAAAGAAAAAAAAAAAAAAACCCCTTCAGGAAATGACTGAAGAACTAAATTTGTGAAACCCGAAAACCTGATGACTAAGTGGGAACATCACAGCAGCCCACAAATATCTACAAGGTGTAAAGCTGGGAAGGAGAGAAATTTCAGGATGGCACCAGGATCAAACACAGCTAGAGTCTCACGTGAATTTACACTTTGCGAGCCTCAAAATTTCTCCAACATACCAGACGCAATGATGATCCATTCTCCTCACACAGATGCCACAGATCCGGCAATGCCACGCCCGGGCTGGCCGCACCAGCTGGCACTTGGCACACCAGTCTTCCTTCACCTTGGTGGGGCTTCCTGCCAACATCCGGGAAGAGCCCTTAAGGTCATCCTTGGGCGTGCGGTTGTTGAGACCGCCCGACGACTCTGGCCCAGGGGACCCTTTGGTCTTCTCCTGCCCTTTTGTGTTCAGGCACTCCATCTGGCTGCTGCTTAGAGATCTGTCATTGCTTGCTGGACGTCTGAGGTAGCCTGGATTCTTCTTGGCTCTGTACAAGGCTAAGAGTATCAGCAATAACCCGCAGGTAAGAAGACCCAGCTGAGTGGGCCTCACACGCCCTTTGGGGACCACTTCTTGCAGGAACACATAGTACATGTAGCCCAGAGAGAACAGTCCGAGGCTCAGGAAAAACAGAGTCTGTTCTTTCCTTCTGTGAGTGAGGTAGTAGTACCACAGAGCCAGCACAGGGAGGGAAGTCAACACCACCACCCCCAGGAGGAAGTGCCAGGAAGCCACACAGAGAAGGACGGGCAGGAGGATGAGCGGGGGGATGATGCTAATGTTAACTTTTTTTGCTCCCCTAAGCCAAGGAACTCGGAGGCGATCAGAGATGGTAGCCATGATTCTTTCACAAGTCTCTGGCTGCACAGATTTACACGTAATCCATCTATCCAAAAAGAGCACAAAGAGAAGACACTTCATGTGGGTTTGTGGAACTCAAAACCACTGAACACTGTAGGCCAAACAGCAGGATAAATGACAGAAGAGGCCAAGGGCCAAGCATTCTACTTTCTCACTGCTAAACACAAGTTTTTCAGGTTCATATATCATTTTTTAATACAAATGAGAAGATAATGTTTAGAAATTGAACAGTTAAAACTATTCCTCCACAAAACAAACACACAGGAATACACACATATTCCACACAAGTACTGTTTAGACTTGGGTAGGTGTACAGACATAAGATTCTCAAAAAAATCCATAATCTAGTCGTGAAGACAACACAACATGGGAATTCAAGAAATACTAGGTGTGACAAAGCAGCAAAACCACCCAATGAACTATTATGGTCAAACACCACGAGGCGTGCTCAGAGGAGAGTGAACACTTCCGGGGGAAGTCATTAGAGGGGTCATTGTGGGAAAGGTGGGATCTGTGCTCGACCTCGATGGCTGGCTAGTACTTGTATGGCTGGAGAGAAAGGGAGGCAGGTGTTCCAGTGGAGACACAGGTGTGCAGCACAAAAGCTGTCCTGTGCCCAGGGAGTAAACCAGGTCGGCAGGGGCAGGGGTCTGCGCAAGGAAGAGTGGAGATCAAACCAGCATGAATCAAATGGCTGAGCTTGGTGAACACGTGGTATTGCTCTCTTTTTTGCACAATTATGCTAGTAAGGAAAGGAATGGTTTAAGGAATGATAACATTGATTTTAGACAATTTAAAAAAGTAGGGCCGGCCCTGTGGCTTGGTGGTTAAGTGCGCGCGCTGCGATGCTGGTGGCCCGGGTTCGGATCCCGGGTGCGCATTGAGGCACCACTTCTCCGTTCATCCTGAGGCCGAGTCCCGCATACAGCAACTAGAAGGATGTGCAGCTACGACATACAACTATCCACTGGGGCTTTGGGGGGAAAAAAATAAAATAAATAAAATCTTTAAAAAAGTAGGGCTAGGGCCAGCACCAATGGCCTTCTGGTTAAGTTCGGCGGCCCAGGTTCAGTTCCCCTTCGGACCTACATCACTCGTCTGTTAGCGGCCATGTTGTGGGGGCGGCTCACATACAAAAAGAGGAAGATTGGCAACAGATGTTAGCTCAGGGCGACTCTTCCTCAGCAAAAGAAAAATAAAATAGTTGGGCTAGAACTTGGAAGTGAGTGGGAGATAACCATATGGAAGTCATACAGACCAGTCAGACAGTGGCAATGCTGGGAGTCTATCTCCAGAGAAGGGTATGGAGAGAGCAGAGACAGGGACAGCCCAGGTCTCAAGGGCTGGGAGGGAGGATGCATTAGAAGGTTAAAGACGACCTTTGGTCTTGAGTGATAGAGGTTATGGAAACACCATCATTTCTCCATTCATTAGCACAAAGGGCTCCATTTTCTCAGTATGGGTTTTAGACTAAGTCTAAAGAACCTATATTTAAAGACACCTGTACAAAAGACTATAGACACTGTCAAGGAAGAATTACAAGGTGTTATGGGGTCTTCAGGAAGCAAGGTTGGTACTAGACTACAGTGGTTCCCAAGAATGCTCTTCATGGCTAGATTAACACACCAAGCACTAAGTTTGCAATTTGCCATTGCAACGACTTTTTTAACTAGAAGTTTTTGGTATTGAGAAAAGCAAGTTTCCAACATCCTTATTCTTCCAGGATTATGCTTTTCATGTGACAATAATTTTTAAATATATAATTATTTAGAAAATGGATAAAAACCAGGTTAGTACCGGTTGGTACAAAATTATCTTTTTGGATAGTAATTTCCATCTCTTGGGATCATGGTGAAAATAAAAGCCAAATACAATAGCATCAATCAAGACGGTGTTGCTGCTCAGGGTGAGAACAGCCAGTCCAGGGGAGGGAGGTGCCTTCTAGAAGCCTGGATCTCCTCCCCAGAAACCAGGGGTGAGATAAATTCCAACAACAGGAAAACGATCTTTCATCCCTCTAGGCCCTTTGTGGCCAGGTGCAGTCCAGTCTCAAGAGGTCAGTCTCTAAAGGCTGAGGCCACTGGGAATGTAGGAACTTTCTAGTACTAACGCGTTTATTTTAAACTTACAGATTCTGCTGGCCTGCATTTTATTTTTTATACATTTACCTTGCCTACTCTCCCTTTATCTGCCTGTTCTCTCCATCATCTTCTCCCTTTAAATGAAAAATAATAACGTCCTAGTAAACTGAGCTGGACAGTTGTGCACTCCTGAGTAATTCATCTTTATAAAATCCTCACACTTGACACAAGACAACTCTCAGTTTTAGACCCTTGGAAACAGAATCAAGAGCCAAGTCTAGCGTTCTGGATGGCTAAGCTGAACGTGGACACAGCAGTTCTCAAAAGGGCCAGAGGGGTCGGCCAAGAAACACCCAGCTCTTACCTATCACAGCCTTCGTCCAGATCTTGGCAATCACACAAACAGGCGGCCACGTGGTTCTTCTGCCCATTCTGATCTATGTACTCGCAGCAGCACAGGGGCTCCAATTCAGGGTCTTCCGCTTTGTTTTTCTTCACTGGCTTCATACTGCTTTTCTGTGTCACGATATCCACCTGTCACCATGAGGCGTAAGAGCCCTCAGAAGGTAACGGTGGAAAGAACACAAGTCACATCTTGTAAACACATCCACGCCTCTCTGATTAACCGCCGACGCCTGAGAAATCAAAGAGGAGAAAGAGGGGGAGGGGGTCCCGTTTTATCCAGGCTTTTGTGGCTCGGCTTGGCCAGACAGAGAGCTGCGGGGCTCTCGGGGCTCCGAGCCGCCTTCACCGCCCCTTCCC